GATTCAAACTGAAGTAAGAACAGAGGGGAGTGCCTTTTTCTTTTCATTAGAAGTCTTCAGTACATAACAAGAATGAGAGAGAACATACTAGAATGAAAGGCCATTTTCTGTATTCACTGTAGCTGGCACAAAGTAGCTGTTGCCTTAAAGAGTCAGGCAGCTAGCAAAATGCTAAACAGCAGGGAAGAAAAATTCAAGGACATTATGTCCCTGAAGAATTTGGGCCAGATTCTGATCCTAAATATAAGTCCAGAATAACATCCTAACTTCTCTGAAGCAACTTCTGGTTTACATAAGGATAACTCTAATAAGAATCTGACTCTTTGTACATATTTTTATCTCCTTTAATATTATTTTCTCCTACCAAGAGGTGTGGGTAGGGGCAGCCTTCCCCTTTTCAAAGCCACTTATAAATTTCTTCTATTCTCCAAACATAAAATAGTGGCAAACCTACTGTTTCAGTCTTGCATCTGAATGGTCATGTCCACACATGCATTTAACCATGCCTAAATTTAATGCACATTAGCTTAATGCGCATTAAGTGGGTTTAGGCAGGCGCCTACAAACTTAGTACCAAGTCAGTCAACACACACAGCATTAATGTACTTTAATGCGTCTACATGGTCATTAATGCGCTTGAATTATTTGCTCCTAAATTTGGTACCTGCATTGGCAGGTATCAAATTTAGGTGTGAATAGTCTAAATTTGCCATTTTTAATGTTCATGAAGGGCATGCATGTGTAGGTGTGCACTCTTAATACTTATTAATTGAGGCTAATGCGCATTAAAACACCATGTGTAGACTCACCCAATGAGAAATCTTAGGGAGTCCTAATCCATGAATCTAATTCAGGCAAAACTTATCTTAAAAGGCAAAGATGAGATTAAATTAAGAACAGAAAATTTTAGACTGATTGTCAGGACATACTTCCTGAAGGTCCCTAAAGGAAATGGAGGAAACTGCATTACTTAGAATATTCTAAAATTAGATTGGATACATTGAACACACAGGAATTCTTATTCCCTCCACTGTCAGGGAGATAAACTTAATACCTGGTCAGTCTTTGCAGTTCTGTAAGTCTGATCTCTGGACACTCATCTTTGCATCTGGAACATCTACCAGTGAACAGTTGAGGGGCATGGAGAAACCATACACTCATATAGCCAGACATACATTAAAAGAATCAGGGTTCAGAGGATAATTAATTCGATTAATAAGTAAGTCATTTTATAAAGTGATTTTTTTCTTTTAAATTGTATATTCACTTTAGAGAATAAAATAAGTTCATTTTTATAAGTAAAATAACGAATGTATTTACATATGTATACTGTGTTTACAGTCTCTAAAGATACCAACATACGTGACCGTGCATACAAGTTTTGAAGCAAGGTAACATAATCAGAGCAGTAGCTGCATTTCCTTTGTGGAGATGTATAAATAAATGGGCATATGTGGTAAAAAGAAATCCCATTTCCTGTAGAGTTCATCCTGGATTGTTCAGCAAGGGTTCAGTCCAGGCATTATTTGTTTGGAAAAAAAAAAAATCCATGGAAACCTAAAACAATACTTATTTGAATAAGTGATTAAAATTGATTTCTCCAGAATTCAGGGAGCCTCATAATATATATTTGGGGGATTGTTTTCAATAACTTTGCTTTTATTTACCAGATTTTTCTTGTCATTGTAATGTATAAAAAAAATATGCTAATTAGGGCCTTCCTCCTGGTTAGACCCACACCTATTCTTTGTACGTATAGATCTCCACTTCTGTCCTGACCTTTTTTCCCTAGGTTAAAGGGCAGAACACAGTGCAGAGAACTTAAGAGAAACTCTAGTTGAGGACAAATCTTTCTAGAACTTATGCTTGAGAAAAGAGCAGGTCTGGAAAACATGCAAACTGCCTGCCAAGAACCCCCTTATAAGCTGTGGCATAGGGGTACTGTTGAAAGCGGGGGTGGAGTCTCAAGGATGCTGCTATGACACTACAAAAATTCTAACTAGTGTTATAGTCCTTGTGGCAACCCTGGGGAAGCTGTTTGTAATTTAAAGTTTGTGTACCCTTAAAAGGATTTGCCAGTATGTCTGTAGATTCTTTGGGTGCCTTGCTTTTATGCGTTCTAATTAGAATGTGTCAGAGCAGACTCAATTGTTGTATCAATTAATCGAGTCTGCTGGAGCGTTCTAATTAGAATGCTTCAGCATGCCTCACCATAATGTGTATTAAACATCCCACTTTTCAAAATGGCTGTTGGGGTGCTTTAACTAAAACTTGTTGAATGAGCTTTAGTTAAAGCGCCCCTGTGGCCATTTTAAAAGGTGGGACACTTAATACACCTGATGGCAAGGCATTTTAAATAGAGCGACTCTTCAGGAACTGCTCTATTTAAACTCCCCCCTCCCACCACCCTTCCTTCGGAGCACATCCATAGGCACCCATAGTGACATACAATTGCATTGCTAGCTGTCACAGTTATGCTGGCAAACCTGTTGGATAGATGCAACTTTTACCATCTGGTGGGAAATCTTGTTTTAATGACCTGGTAGTAACTGTACCAGCAACAGAACTCTGCATGTAATAAGCTGTGTAAGAACTATGGATTTTGGCCAGTATATCTCTACTAGTATAGCTATGCTGGCAAACCATTTAAAGTGTTGGCAAGCCAAGTGCTTCCTGGCACACCTGCACCCCAAAATCTTAGGAAGCTTCTAGCTCCCTAGCCCCCTAAACTTTAAGTTGTGTTGTAACCTGTGAATGACTCCATTGACTTAAACATAGACCATTGCAGGGCACAGCAAAGTTGATGGCAATTTTGCCATTGTGTGAAATTGAGTGCACATGCACATCTTTGCAGCATTAGATCATAGGTAGTATAGAACAGTGGTCTCCAAACTTTTTTGATCGCACACCCCTATCAGTAAAAAATTTTTGAGCACACACCCCCAATATATGTATATTTATATAAATAGAAATAGAAGTTCTAATATTTTCTTCCCACACCCCAATGAATCGTCTTGCGCTCCCCCTGGGGTGTGTGCACCCCACTTTGGAGACCACTGGTATAAAACACCTGGGGTCAGATTCAGCCTTTGAGCAACTGAATTTCACTATGGTTAGTAAAGACTAAATTGACCTCTTAGTAATTCTGTTGTTCCATGTAGATATATTTTCTCAAGACATTTTGTTAGATTTAAAGATACATTTCTAATTAATAAATAGCAAGCTGAAACACCATTTTTTCTTTGGAGGACAGAGGTTGTAGGGGTGTTCTTCACCTGTGTATTACCATAACATGACAGGTAATCCATTCTAAATTGTTGCAGCATGTTTGTTCTTTTGGCCCAACCAGGGATGGATCCAGAATGGGTTCAGTGGCATGGCTCCACCCCACTTTTGGATTGTAGTGCCTCACAGGAATCTCCAGGGACTTTCTGTAAGTCCCTCAAGCAGGTAAAAATCCCACCCCCTCTTTCCCCTCAGTGCTCAGAGGCCTATCCCCTCCCCTACTTCCCTCACCCTGGAGGTGGGGGATACTGCCCTGGGGGTGAGGGAAGCACTAGAGCCACTTCTGCCCACCCCACCCAGGCTGCACAGGGCCTGGGTTCAACTGGGGATGAGGACAGTGGCAACAGAGTGGTGGGAAAATAGTTTCCCCCTCCCTGCCCAGTCCTCTAGGAATGGGTGAGTGGAGGGGGAACCCCTCACACACTACGAACCCCTCACACACTACCGTTGCTCTCTGGTTTCTGTCCCCAGCTGAGCCCAGGCCCTATGCAGCCCAGCTGGGGAAGGCAGAAATGGTGTGGCAACTTCCCCTGCCCCCTGGGACAGCAAGAAAAGCAGCAGTGGCAGATGGGGGAAAGATGGAAGGAGAGGGGAGGGGCAATGCCTCTGACTACCAAGGGGAAAGGAAGCGGGGTTTTCACTTGCTTTAGGGACAGGAACTTGAAAACATTCCTAGAGGCTCCGCCCAAAGGGGGCGGGGGGAGGGGAGGAGAGGGGACTCCTGGGAGCAAGGGTTGCAGACAGTCCTACAGTGTGGATTGCTGTCCCTGCACCCTCCCCTGGGAAATCCTGTAATTCAGCCGTGGGCCCAACAAACCTAACTAAGATCTGCTGTTGCTTACTACCCAGTCCCGTGCTAAAACAATGTTTTCCCAAGCTCAAACACTCTTTACTTTACATGAGAAACATGTAGATGTAAGTAGGGAGGAGACAGATTTTTAAGGTTGATTTTTTTTTTCTTTTTTTTCTTTTGGCCTGATGTACATGCAGTTCTGTAACAGGCTGAGCATCTTCAATCCTCATTGACTAAAATGGGATGGAGAGCCCACCAGTCTTTATAAGACTAGCTGTTGATTTTTTTTCCACTTCATTTATGAAGTGGAGATACTACAGGATAAACAGCAGGATGTGGGGTGTTACAAATGTTTTCAAAGTCCTTCCTTTTCAAAGAAGTTTTTTGCCAGTCTGTAGTGGTCCACACCCATTCTGCAAGCATGCATCTCATTGTTTCTTTCCACAAAGATATCCGGTGTGAAATGTTAATGTAACTATCCCTTTGATATCAGATAAGAACTGGTGGTCTGGGCTGCAAGTTTGGGCCTTAAGGAGTTCAAGTTTTTTTTTTTGTTTGTTTGTTTTTAAACCACAGGTCCCACAAATCTCAGCTGGTATTGCCCACATTGTAGCAAAGCATTAGGTTGTGTAAATTCAGCACTTGGCAGTAGATTTAAACTGTTCTTTTTCAATAATTCACAAAATTAGGGCAAATGTTTGCTGACACAGGCACCCATGTGACTCGCAATGAGATCATTAGATGGCAAAATATGACCCTTAGCTTTAAAATGGTGGTTTAAATTAAAAGATCAAATGATATACCTGCAGGTCTGTGAATGTCAGTTTTAAGTTTTGCACGAGCAGTCTTCATCTTGGTTCAAGACAATGTTTCATATGCTGGGACACTGCCTTCTTCTGAAAAAAATGAAAGTGGTTGTAAGATGCGGAAAACAGATTTTGGGCCATGCAAGCTTGCAGGCTGTATGGTGTCCACCCCGGCTTCACTCTTTACTAAAGAGATAAAGCACATCTTTCGGTAAGTGCTTTAAGATTAGATAAATAGTTGGACTTATCTGAAAGCAGATCTTAGCAATACCTGCTGAGCTTCTGCGTAATGATGTGTACAGATCTTTAGATTAGCTGTCAAGATTGCCTGATTGCTACAATGAAAGATGGCTATGAGATTACAGTCTTTAATCTCAATGTACACAAATAATTGATAAAGATCTAGTGTCAGATACTGTTAGAACTTTATCCTCACCTTTGTGATGTAATTTGAAGCCTAGTTTTATTACAATTATAATAAATGTAAAAGTGGAGAAAGCGAAGACAAGCAGCAGGGAAATATTTTTTTTGCTTGAAAAAGTTGGTTTACAAGGTGTGTAATGCAATTTCAGGTTTTCAAAGATAGCCTGCAGTATGACTGTGCTTCCTGGCATGTTTGTCAATGGTTTCTTTATATGACATTACAAATAATCTACAGAAGGTGCTTGTAGTACCCTGGGGGGAATTGTGGTCTGACCTGTCTGCTGGCTCGCCCCTGGCCACACCTCACCTTCAGTCTCTCACCTGCCACTCCTTTGATGTAATTTTGTTTGTTGTTCCAGGAGCCGATTCTTGTAACCTCACTGGTTGTCTTGCCCATCCAGCTAGGACAGGCCCCCCACCTGCGGCCTGGGCTTTCCCTCAAGTGCTTTGCTCCTGTTCACTTCTGAGCACTTGTTGGGACCTCAGCTGCTGTAGCCATGACCCCCTTTTCCTCTGGCAACAGTTTCAGCCTTGGTCTACTGTTTAAGACCTTGGTTCCCTGGTATGAGCCCTGCCTGGGTGGCAGCCCCTCGGGGTTCCAGTCTCACCACATCAGCCTCTGCCCTCTAGCTCACACCTATCTTCTGGCACAAAGTGCCACCCAGGTACCCCTATTTGTGTCCTCCTCCACCCCTGTATCCACAATCCGGTCCTCTGGTCTAAAGCTCAAACAACAAAAGCAAAAGCCAGATGCTTCACAAAACCAAATAGTTTCCTTCCTCAGGGCAAATGTTGCCCACAGGCCCTCTCTCTATAGGAGCATTTTCATGCCAGCTCTCCTGGGTGGCTTAGGTGCCTGCCTGTCCATCTCCAGCAGCCCCTCACTCCCAAGAGCTCCCCTCCCTGCTGCAGACAGGGGCTGCCCCCTTCAAGGCTTAAATCCCTAAGCCCAGCCTCCTCCTAGTCATGTGCCGCTAATTGCTTTGTTAGCCACCTGGCCTTAGCCCTGCTCAGTCCACCTGGGCTACTACTCATTACCAGGGAACTAACTTACGTCACGCTTTTGGCAAGTTCCACAACCAGTGCAAAAAATGCCAGCTACTGCCATTGTCAACAAAAAAATGTGATTTCCCACAGAATCACTACCAAAATAATATAAATTTGCTAAAAATAAAATGGTGGCTCCCCAGTGGGAAAGCCCTGCAGCCTGCTGGAGGCAGGGGAACCTGCTGGCTAGTAGAAGAGCATGAAGGGGAGCAGCCAAGATGGAGGCCTTCCTCACCCTGACAGGGGTCTGTCTGCCAATCTGTGGCAAGTGGCAAGGACTCTAGGGCCTCCTGGTCAATCAGCAGTGAGGGGCGGGGCTCCAAAATGCCTCTGCACACTGCAAACAGGCCACAAATATCCCTTTGTCTAGCCTCAATTTAGATAGGTCCATACTCATAACTGCCTTTCCTGGCCCTAGGTTTCCTACCATTTCAGGCCTTCCTCAGGCCTTCCTGGTACAGTGCTAAATGGAGTCATAGCTGCATTGTCATAGTCTGTCTTCAGATAAAAAGTATCCTCGATCCAGGGCCTTCTGGTTTGCCTGAGTGAGTGCACAGTACATCACTCTGTGTGTGTGTGTCTGTAAAGGCTCCCCTGTTGCCCTTTATACTTCAGTACGTAAACATCCCTTAAATCACCTTTGTACTACTCTGATCCAGTGTTGGCTCTGTATATTGGGCTCCTGTTTTTTTCCAAAGCCCCACAGAAATTGGAACAGCTTAAAGGTGCCAATAAATCTGAAAAGCTGTCAATGGCACCAAGCCACTGTTATAGTAGCTAGGGCTCTGTGAGGCAGGGAAGCCCTAACCATGTATTTGTTTGTATTAACCGTACTCCCATCCTGGCCAGACTCCACAGCGACAGGGAATGCTGGAGCCATTCGCCTCTTGAAGCTATCCCTACAGCCATAGGACACCTTCGCATCTGAGATGCATCACAGAACTGCCGAGGGACAGCTGCTAAAATCCTAATTCAAACTTTGCAGTTTTAGTTTTCCATACAACCTACTGAAAATTAGAGGGCATAAATCCTATAGATTTTCACTGACATTGTTTTGGTTAATGTTATAATATGTAACCATAAAAATGTACAAATCTAGTAACACTCACTTATCAGAGTGCACAGGTAACATACATAATCAGTTTCTCTTTCATTAGGAAGGAGCTGTCCTTTCTGCAGTTTTTACTTGGGTGGAAGATTACAAATCCTACTTCCCCAAAGAGCTGCTCCTTTCGTTTTCAAGGTGGGACAGTCACAGAAGATTTCTCACCACTTTTTTTTTCTAGTAGTTCGGGTCCTGGAGACTCTAATGGTGGCGTGGATTTTAGATACTATAAAAGTGCTCAGGCATAAAAAAAATAAAAGTGCTGGGGTGTTCCTAATCTTTCCCCCAAACATTTTTTTTTTCTTTTACACATCTTCCTGTAAATTCTAATTCCACTGCTAAACAATCCTCAAACCACCTTCAAGAGAGGTAAATGATTAGCAATAGAAAATGGAAACAAATTCCTAACCCACCACCTGATCAGTCCCCTGACCTCTCCCTATGATTTTAGTACATCTTATTTATTCCTGTTCAAATTCACCTCCTCAATGACACCTGAAGCCGAATTCATATTTAGGGTAAGCAGCTGTGTCACCTTGGAAATTCTGTTTTTCAGTTAAATTACTATTATTCTAAATGTCAGATCAGTTTGATCAGTTAGTTTTGGTGTGCTGCAGATCATGCATATTTTCTGTTACATTTTCTTTGCCAAGAAATGTAGTATTCTTGTCCTACAACTTAACTTCTGAAAATTTATATGTAAACATTTGGAATCAGCATTTATTGCTGCTGCTGGTTTGTGTGACAGCTTAATTCTCTTTGGATTCTTGACCTCTGAAGTGGCAGAGTTGCAAGGGCTTAAAAATCATATGTACAATGCATATGCTTGTTAATACCAAGGGCAAGGCTGTCATACACCGTGTTTAAAGCGAAGTCTAGAGATGTCAGTCTGAAGCTATGTAATTCTAAACTTCTGTGTATTCACAGTACACTATATATTGTATCAGTGAAAACTACCACAGGTAAATATTAATTTAAGATATTTTAGTGGTAACTGTAATGATTCTGAAACTTCAGAGGTCTAGTGTGTAAGAGTTTAACTGTAAGTAAGATTTATAAAATTCTGCTCAAATCTGTTAAATCAGCTACCTTGTTAGATGCTAGTCCTGAGTATGCATGTGTGCAGACTTGTATATACCCACAGCTACTGCCATTGTCAACAAGCGTAAATTTAGGCAAAGCCATGAACCAACAGTGGCTGGTACACACATTCAGATAATCTGGGAGAATTCTCCCAGGTTTGCTCTCCAGATAGAGAAACATACCCAGATCTGTGTCTATGGATATTTACATGCAGCATGCTAAAGCTCTGATATATGGAGAGTTTGCAGTCTGGATAAGGGCCCTGTGCACACATCTCAGCATGCTCTCCAGGCTTCTTTTGTCTGCCCAGTGACAGATCTCAACAGTGCATAAAGCAGCTCTGATTGGTTCACCCAAACTGCCCATGATCCTCTTGCATTTCCCAGCAGCACAAAGTAAGGATTGTGAAGGGGGAGTGTTTTGGAGAGGTAGAGTCTAGCAAGTGACACACTGTATCCCTGATGGGGAGGGGGAAAAGCTGGAGGACTGTGTTCTCTTCTGAGAGAAACCATGGCATGTACAGATATTTCCAGTCCCAAACTCTCCTGGGAGTGATTTAACCCTTGTTGTCCCCAGGTTATTTTTCTCTTGGAGTGGCCATTTTTTACCTTGGAAGAAAAGCCTGGACATTTGTGGTTTCTCCTGGGAGAGCAGCAACTCTCTCAGAAGAAACTGAATGTCTGTACAAGGCTACTGTTGACGCCACAAAATCCACTAGGTAAGCTTAAATAGACCATTGACATGTGAAGTGGAAAGAGGGATCTCTAAAGCAGATTGCTAGGGTATCAGCTGCTAAATGTACCTGGAAATTAGAAGGGTATGTGTCCCCTGGAGAGGTTAAAGGTGGGATATGTTGAGTGTAGATAGGGATTCTTGATTGAGAGAAAGCCAAGGGATGGGAGTAGAAAAACTAAAAAAGAAAAATATGAATGCATCTAAAAGCTGTTTGTATTTCAACTAATGCAGCTCAAGAAGGGATTAACTATATTTAAATATAAAAGTGTAATTTTCATTTTGAACCTCTGGAAATTAAAAGCATTACATGGCTGCAACCAAGAACAAGATTAAGCCATCTAATACTACATCAAACCTGTTAAGACTTCACACCTGTGACCAACAAGGATTGCCTAATGCAAATAATTTCTCATTATTCCATGACTAAACTGTCTGCAAATACACAAAAAGTTATTTTTAAAGAATCTGAATTACAAAAGGTGTGTCTACACAGCAGTCACTTTTGTAACTGTGCCATGGTGGAATGAAGCTCTAGATAGCCAAATTGCCTTTATATTTATTCAGCTTTAGCTTCTTAGATGGGTTTTGCATCTCACACTGATTTCTGTGCTGCCATGGCTTTGCCTCTAACAAGCAAGTTTTAGGCTAGTCCTGAGTGCTGCACTTCAAGAGGAATGTGGCTAGCATTGAGAGGGTCCAGAGGAGGGCCACTCGCATGGTCAAGGGGCAGCAGGGCAGGCCCTACAAAGACAAGCTAAAGGGCCTGAACCTATTCAGCCTCCACAAGAGAAGGCTGAGAGGGCATCTGGTGGCCATTT